AAGCTCAAGAACCTGGGTTCAATCCCTGGTACCACATGCCGCGCTGGCCCTGGAAGTGCTGGCCTGGCCACCAAAAGCAGGTGTGGTGGCACATGCCTGTAATCCCAGCGCTGGAGAGGCTGAGACAGGAGGATCACTACAAGTCTGAGGTATGTAGCGATACCCTGTACCAAATAAATAAGAGATTAAAAAATAAATAGTGTGAGATATGAAGGCCCTGGGTTCAATCCCCAGGTACCACAAAATCAAACATGAAAAACTGAATTTGAAAGTAGAAAGCAGTTTAACTAAAAATACTTGCTTAGTATCATGGTATTACATGAAAGTCAGGTATTATTGCCTAAGAACAAAAAAAGAAAGAAAAAGTACATGGAGAAGTATTCACTTCATTATTTTGCAGACTTAATGTTTTTCTTTTATTCCAAAGATACCACAACATTTTCACTGACACATTCCCAATCTTTCTCTTCACATAAGAAACCGGGAAAATTCAGTAATGTAATGATATAAATTAGGACACTTGCCCAAATTTAAGTGGCTGTACCAATGGAACAATATATTTCAAGAATAACCCCAGGCACCTACAGCCAACCAGTTCTCAACAAAGTCACCAAAGACATAACCTGGAGAAAGGATAAAACCTCTTCAATAAATGATGAAGGAAAAAACTTGATATTCATATGTAAACAAATGAAACTTGATTCTTATCTCTTACCATGTACAAAGATCAACTCAAAATAGATCAAAGACCTAGATGTAATACCTGAAACTACTAGAAGAAAATTTAAAGGAAACATCTCAGGACATTGAGGATCTGAAAACTCTGTATGTTAAAATAGGATTTTTTAAATGTTTTGAGTTCCTTATATGTACTAGATAGTAATCTTTTGTCAATGAATAGTTTGCAAGTCTTTTTTCCAGTTCATGTCATCTCTTTACTGTGCTGATACTTTTAGTTCAATATGATCCCATTTGTGTAATTTGTTTCTGTTCCCTATACTTTTGGGGCCAAAAAAGTCACTACTTGTGTCAGAAAGAAAGCAAAAAAAAAAAGGAAAAAAAGAAAAAGAAAAGGTGGGTAGGTTAGGGACACAGCTCAGTACTCTGAGTTCAATCTACAATATGGCTAGAGGGAGGGAAAATAAACATCAGGGTGGGTGTGACTTGGGGGCTGAATCCTTTAAATAAAATTTGTTCTTTTAAATTTTGGGACAGGATCTAAGTTGTCCAAGTGGTATTTGAACTTGCAACCGCTTGGGTCTGCCTCCCACGTGCTGGGATTCTTGTGTGCCAACACATCCACCTAAATAAGAGAACTCTTGAACACTGTTAGTGGAAATGTAAATTAGTACAGCCATTCTGAATAAAAGTATGGAGGTTCTTCAATAAAATTAAGAGTAAATCTACATAACCTAGCTATCACACTCTGCATGTATAGCCAAAGAACATTAAATTACTATTTCATACAAAACTGTACTGCCATGTTTACTCCAGCACCGTTCAACATCAACAACCAAGGTCAACATCAATGGATGAATGGACAGAAAAACTAAACTATAGCTATAAAATAATAAAATCCTGTCACTGCAGAAAATGGACAGAACGGAAGGACACTGTTAAATAAGCCCACCCAAAGACAAGGACCATGTTCTCTCTGGTATGATGAAGCCAGAAGAGTTCCAGAAAAGTTGATCTCAAAGTAGAAAATAGTCGAGTAAGTCATTACCAGAGGATGAGGACAGGAGGAAGGGGGAAACGAAGGATAATGGGTAGCATACCGCACTGTACCTTGCAGTACATTTGCTACAGTTCACAATACCCTATATTTTATGAATAAGAGAAGATCTTGAAGCTTCCAAACATAAAGAAATGCTAAAGAGATGGAAATACTAACTACCCCAAACTGATAAGTAGACACCGAGCACACACAGTGAAAGACATCTTAATCCACAAATATTTACAATTACGTACTAAAAAACAATTAACATGTAAAAAAAATTTGAATGCAAAAGCTAGTCAGATTTAGATACAGAAAAGTGGTAGGGAAGGTGATTTTTGAAATATAGGTATTTAATATATTTTTTATGAACTACAGAGGCACGTTTCAAGAGTAAAACTCAGTTGGCACAATTTATGTAAATGTTCTCACAGGTATCAAAATTGACTTATGTTGAACTAAACAGCAAAGGTGAACTCTAAAGTGCAAAACTAAATTCAAAGCTGAAATGTTTATTGAAACAAATGTTTATTGGTTTATGGACTTAAAATAGCACTGTCATGGACTTCATAGGCAGCATATATACATATAATCTTCTGCAAAGTGACTTGAATCACATAAAAGTGACACCAATACACAAGTATTTCACTGCTTTCCAAGAGGTCAAATGACAAAAATACGAAAACTGTCACGAAGTTTTAAAAGCCTTTTATAAATTAAAAACTATAAAATATCCCCAGGTTTAAGGGAAATCAAGTACTTAGTAAGGAAGATAGAGTGAATTAAAATGAGAGTGATTTAAAAATGACAATTGAGTATTCTATAATTCAATAGGCTGTTCTTCTAAACTATAACTTTGAAAGTCAATAGTGGATCCTGAAAATTTTTATCAAGTAAAATAAAAATATCCCGTTGTATACCGGGTAGTAGGCCTAAGAACTGTTTCTGTGCTTTTATTTGGATTGTATGCTTATGTGCATATTAGATTACAATGTGAAAAGTGTTTCATTGAGAGTTGCTGTGAAGATCGGGCTGCCACTCTTAAGACTAAATTTTGCATTTTGGAGCCCTCTACAGGTTCTAAATGTTTAAAGAATTGAATTCTACAGTAAATAAATAACTCTTTAGCTAGAAGAAAGTTCAGGAACAGTCAATAATTTATGCAGAAATAACTTGATGAGGGGTCTGCCCCTTAGCTCAGTTCTTTAAGTGGCTGCTTCAACAAAGCAGGCAGGCTCAGGTTGCTGTGGTTCATAAGCCAGCCAAACCTGCCCTGAAGGCATTCGGAGCAAAAAAAAAAAGAAAGAAAGAACTTGATGACATGAAAAGGCAACAGCTGGGCTCACAATTCAACCTAAGTATGTGAGCACCCTCAACCTTTAGACCACACATTCTCAAGGAACATAATTAGTTTGATAATGTCTATTATTAGCCCTTACCAATTCACACAAAGAAAAACACATTAAATAATAGCTGCCTCTGGGTAAATGCAATCACAAGGACTTTAAAATACTGTAACATTTTTATATTTGTAAGGTTTTTACAAAGTTGTGTTAAGAATTTTATCAACAGAAACATGGATAAGTGATTAAAATGCTGTCTCTATCTCTATCCTGACAAAGAATTGAGTTTAAAAGTTCTGAACACTGAAGTGCTGAACTATGAACTCAATTTCATACTAAGAATAGATCACCAAATCAAAGTAGAACTCCATACAGTAGTTAGAAGATTGACCAATGCTTTACAAAGTCTTATTATTTTGATTCAAAACAAGCTAAAATTCTATTAGATTAAGGCTGTCTTTCATAGAAAGATACTAAAACAAAGCAACAATACTTATGCTTAGAATGCCATAACTACTACCACCACCAAAAAATAAGTATCTTGCAAAAAATCATCAAACACTACACTGATATTAATTTCACCTGTATGAAGTGATCTGTCTCAGAAAGCTGGACAATTTACTTGTTAACCTCAGGTTGATTATACAACAGTAAGAGGGACCAAAAGGTAGAGACTTGAGCCCACTAAAGACCTCTTGGCAATAAAATCAATTCAGTATAACTGAAAGTAATTCATGGTATGCAGTAAGTTATTAGTCTTTTTTTTTTTTTTTTTGAGTCCACAATGGCTGGCCCATTTACTAAATCTTTAAGAATAATAGTAAGGTAGACCGGGTAGATAGCTCAGTGGAATAAGTGCTTGCCTGACAAGCGCAAGATCCTGAGTTGAATCCCTAGTTACCACCAAAAAATAAAAAAATAAAAAATAAAACTAGGTCTTCCCTGAAAGAGAATACTGGTATGTCATCTAAAGCAAGTCTGATGCTAATTTAGTATCCTATACACTGACATATCTGTATTGACCATAACATAACCTAGACTAGGTAATTGCTAGGGTTCATGAATCAGCTTATCACTGACTTTTAGCACAATGTACACTGAAATCAGTAAAATTCTCAATAAAACTGATACTCTGTTAATGAGCTCTATTTTGGAAAACTTCTTTTTGTAAAACAGATATATGTTCAGAATGTCTGCCCTGCAATGTCTCATGTTTATTATAAACACTTAGATGATGCATGCTCTATTAGAAATGAATGGGCAAATTGTTTATGTGAAAAGAATGAAAATAAAATGTATGGTTCATTTTTTAGTATTTGCCTGAATACGCTGAAAAAATCCTTAGCATAATCACTTGAAAGGAACTATTTATTTATGGAACTTTTTAAGAATAGAAATTTTCTAAATGAGCAAATAAACAGGAGTCTGAGGACCAGGCTTCCCTTCCCTTCCCCAGCACCATGTGGTCCTCAGCATTCTACCATACTTGGCAAACCACCACCACATCAGAACCCATGTGTCTAGAAGTCACCTCTCCTTCATGTTCTTCCCTTTTCTCTATTCTACTTAAGGAAAATACCCTTCTTCCTGTTGGCAGGCAAAACGATTATCCTCAAAACATTAAAATAACTGCTTTCATAAAATCCTTTGTGCTTTATATCTGGCATACCAATATCCACCTCTGATCCAAACAATATGGCTCTCAAAGGTTACTTATAAGGAACACTTTAACATTCTTCTTCAAACTCCTTTCATGAGAGAGTTATTCTACTGAATACTTAACAGCCAGTGACTCCACACCCAACCTTCATATTGTGTGACATTCTCACATACATGAACCCAACATAAAACACACGTACATATCCACTACTCACTCTCTCTCACAAGCAAGCATACACGCACATTTTCTTTCTTTCCAGAACAAGCCAGAATTACAGCTCTTTTGGTGATTGTTGTAATTTTTGGAATGGTTCATAAATTTTCCAAATTCTTTTAAATTTGTAATACTTTCATCTTTTTTTTCCCCGAATTGTGAACCATTCCATATTGTATCTTTATTGCAAAAGTCAACATGCTTCTTAGAAATTCAGATTGTAATCAATAAAACATTACATATATGAATTTAAATGTATAAACAGTTAGAAATTCAACAATATCTCCTATTATACTATTACACAAGTTCACAATTTTGTAAAAACTATAATACAGGCATACTATACATCAAGAGGAACCACTATTCCTTTTCACATGATTTTTTCTTCTCATTTAAAATAATGATCCATTGCCATGGACCTTTCCCACCTTAACAGGACTGTTTTCCAATTTATCATCTTAGCTGGTGACAATCTTTCTTTCATGAAGAAACTCTGGGAAATTCTGCATTCCTTAAGGTTAGCTTTTTAGACTTGGGCAGAAATCTAGTGAATGAGGGTGACCTAGCCAGACTAGTGGCTGTTATTGCTGATGAGCTACCTGTAAAGATAGCTTACACATGACGAAGAACAGCATAATTCATCTCTGATGCTATCATTTCTGTAAATGAAGATATCAACAAAATAAATGATAGTACAACACTCGGGAATTTGAGGGTGAGGAGTAACAAAAATCTCAAAGTGGGGGGATATGAATATATACCTATTTCATACTAACTTCAGGTTTTATAATTAATCCATATTTTTAATTCATTTTTGAGAACCATACATTAGAATTCTTACAAAGGACATTTTAAAAGTATTTTATTTCTATTTAAAGCATACTAAAAACCAAGTTTTACCCAATATACTTCAAAGCTTAATAATTGTAAAAAAAAGAAAACTTTCTGTTCCTCACCATAGCACCTTTGTCTTTCATTCCTGCCCTCAATAATGAAAACGTCACAGAAACCTCAATTCTCCCTATAGCAAGTGTAGTAAGATGTCAAATTTGAGGTTAAAAAATCATATGAAAAGGAATCTCATTCTGTCAAACTGTCAAGTCTACTGAAAATTTTCTTACAGCTCCATTAATTTACTGTAATTTTCAGTTTCCAAATACAAAAATACAACAATTCTTATTGAAATCTATACGCTGGTAGTTTTAGTACACAAAAGAAAAAAACCAAACAAATTATTTACAAAATTATACAATTTAAGAAAAAACTTTGTACAAAAAATATATAAATCCTTTGTTCCCTCTATCATGTTTAAACTGTCAGGACTCAAAATATTCACCACAATGAATCTTTCAAAATATATACTGACTGAGCCACAGACATTAAGAAAATTTCATTAAAGATGACGGAGGAGTAAGGAGCAAGATCACGTATTCTAGGTTCCCCATTCTAATGTTTCCCTCTCTTGTGAGCTTATTTCACTTCAGTGTTTTCACTAATGTAATAATAACCTAGAAAGAAGAAGTTATTATTATGAAGAGAAAATTACATGAATGCAAAAATGACCCTGGTTTTGATACTTTGTTCCAGGAAAATATGTAGAAGGGAAAAGATGATCAGAATATGGGATTTTTACTTCCTATAGCTAAGTAAATCTAGAGTCCTGATGGTTTTAAGCTTCTTACTGAATAATTTCTATTCTGACAAATAGTCATTACCTCAGGAAATAAAATCCTTGATACAGCGGTAACCAAGAACTTTCTGAAGCCAATAGGAAATTTCAAAATTTCACGCCACACACATATAAAAACACAGATGTGTGTATCCTTGAAAAAGTAACATTCTATGTACATTAATCATTTTATTTTCCCAGGGATCAGTACAATGTAGTGTTGCTCCTCTGCTTTTCCATCTAACATTCAGAGCACAAGGACATAAATTTACATATATATTTTACTTAACAGATACTCTATACAGTGTACAGTAAAAATGCACACAGTAAAGGAAACTGTCTACTGAAGGACGCATGTGTTCAAGGATAGCCACAAGCTACAAGATTGTGAAAATATAGGGTCATCCAATCAAAGTCAAGTTATGACTCTCATTTATTCTAACTCCCCCAGCCTCCTACTCCACCCCTACTGTACCCCCAAGTCACCTCATCATTATGGTTTAAATTTAGAAAAAGAAATTCAGATACTTTTTCTTTCTTTTTCTGAATTACTGAAAATTGAAGTTTAAAAGAGAAAGAAATAAAAAGCTGGTGACTTTCTCTCCCCCAAAATCCTTCCTTTATTCTTATCAAAACACTTATCAGTATGCTGGTTTAAACCTTTATTGGAGACTGAATTTTGATGGTCAACTGTTTACTTATCTTGGTAATAGGTAAGTTACAGGCCTATTAACAAAAGGAGGGATGGCAAAGGGGCAACAGGTGAAAGCCTTTTATATTCTCAGGTTTAAAAAAATAAGACTCACTGAACAAATAGTGACTTAGTAGTAAAGCAAAACTGAGCGGCAAGAAAGTCTAGGAATACAAGAGGATGGAAATGCCAGAGTGAGCTACCATTGCCTTATTTAAGAATAGAGTTTGTTGTGATTTTTCACTACACATAAAAACCCTGAAGAAAAAAAAAAAAAAAAACTGAGATTGAATACAAATTAGGCTCCTCCAGAGTAAAACAAAAAAAAATAATTAAAATTTACTTTTCTTCCAAGATAATTCTTGAAAGCAAAAAGGTATTTTAATTACAAATACCTCCTACTATCTGATGACTCGTCCATAATAGCTAAGAGATTCCAGGTGACTTTATCATTTAATGAATTATCAGCAGATTATAATCTAAAATAAAATTTCTAAACACCCTGTCATTTACATCATAATCCAACACCAAGAGCAACAAAAACAGGTGGTGTGGAAAATAAGGCTCTAGAAAGTATCCATGTCATTCCTCCTATGGATCTTGTAACTGTTAAAAAGTCACTAGGCCTTTGGTGCTTTAATATCATGTATAATTAATTATGAGATGTGTTTACACAGCAAACTTGCTGTCCTTGAAACTATTGTGTTGAAAAGAAAAATAAAAAAAATTTTTGGCTCATTGACTTCTTTAAATAATTTTAAAAGTCGTTCTTCTACACAGCATTCCTAACAGTCACATAGCTGGTGCCAGACTCATCTCCGCCAGGAGCGTGGCTCGTACTCATCTTCGTCTTCATCATCATCATCGTGCAGGAACAGCTCAGAGGTCTCTGGTTCCTGGAGAAAAGAGGACAAGATCCATTCAGTGGTGCATAAACACTAAATGCATTTTTAGGCCATAGGAAAAAGAGACCTATGTACAAAGCCCAGGCCAGACTTCCAAGTGAGGCAGGCAAAGTGCCTTTCAAAACAAAACATGAGGTGGCTAGGGATATAGTTCAGCAGCTTAAGCACCAGCCTGGTTAAGCAC